TGGTGGCTTTGCCCATGGGGATGGGACAATAGTAATGAATAGCTTAAGCAGAATGAGACTAAATGTATGTATTCCATCCATGCAGTACAACATCATCATGGAATCTATAAAGTTACGCATCACATTGTAAGTCAACTCTAATAATTCCAAGCTTTAAGAAAATATATTGTTTTCTACTCAATAATACATTCTTTGAATTTTGCCATTTACTCTGGTTTATTGTTTTTCACACACACAAACAATGTAAATTTACTCATATACATATATCATTATAAAAGTAGGTTCAACATTCTGTTCCTTGCTGTCTTTATTTAGAAGACTTTTTGTCAGGACTGTCTTCTGCCCCGCTATCATCTTCAACATTCCAGTCCCAATCTGGCACTTCTAATTTCTTCTTCTCACCATATGGGGGCGCTCCAAGCAAATCAACAATATCACTGTAGTTCAGTACTTCTTTCTTCAAAAGAGTGGTTGCAAGCTGTATAAGAAATACCATATTTGTTATGTAATTGTAGTTATGTATTTATGTAAAAGATAGATTTGTGTCAATAGTCAAAATGTTATATTTTAATGATCTGACATACAGTAAAATGCAATGTTTGGTACATTTGCACCTCTGTGGAGACATTGTGTGGATGTAATCATATTTCAGTTATGTGCTAGTGCTCATTCTGGTGTATATGACCCAGCATCATAAATCATAATAAAGTCACATGACAAGCACTTTTTTTTTCAAAGCATGTTGTGATAATGATAATTTCAAGTGATAAACTAAAACACAATGCCAACTGGTTGTCAAGTGAGATGCAAACATTTCCACTGTGTTAAAACTTTGATATTGATTGTTGCAATTTGTGAAATAGCTTCCATAAAAAACTATTTATTCAGTCTTTATTAATTTGTGTACCCAGTTAAATTTCAAAAAATAATTACTAATTAAATCTTTTTAATTCCCTGTGTTCCCAAACAATTTTAAAATTGTATCCTTTTAATTCACGCTTTTTATGCACCGGAAATACAGAACAGAAATCATTCATATTAAGAGAATTAATTAAGGAACAAATAGGACATATTGCAAAAATTCACATTTATTAGAAAATTACTTTTCCTGTGACCACAACCAGTGATCACAACACTTTTCAAAAACTTCAATTTATTTTACTCATGACACAGACATAAGCATGTGGCAAAAAAACAATGCTTCAAAACACATACTAGTATACAACTTTTGCTTAGCAAATGAGAATAGAAAACTTGAATATAGTGCGCCATGTTGTTGAAGGATCAATTTCCTTACCCTACATGAATGCTAAGAATGATTATTTATCATTATTTTTTGTGTGGAACAGTCTTTGCCAGCCAAAAGCTTTTAGTTGTGTAATTTTTAATATCTGATTGCATTTAAATTATTCTATCATATTTTTTGTACATAGTTTCCAAATGTTTGTCTTGGAAATTACATCATTATTTCTTAGCATATCATACAGCTAAACTTGCGCACTTGAAAAAAAAGTGTTTACGGTACATACCATATTAGACAAATTAATGCCTAAATCAACAAGATCTCAATTTAGCTAAAGTGCACACAATCTCAATGTGAGAATATAATTTTTTTTTTCTTCAAATAAAAAGACATGTTTTACAGTGATGTGCAGTTAATTTTTTTAAAAATTTATGATTATTATTTATGACATAGATGTTCACACATTGCTATTATTAGCACCAAAAATTAATATTAATAACTCACCAATTTTAATTTCTGACTGTTATTTCTCAGTAGTTTGTCAGTATGCAGATAAGCTTTAGCTACTAGCTGCCTCGCCTCCTGCAAATCAAGATGTAAACAACTATTAGGAAAAAAATGCTTTCTGGTTCTGAGCTATTATCAATAATGGCAGCAAGATACATCTGTCAATGTATTGCTAGCATGATACACTTGATAGAATCACTAGTTTTATTGTTAGAATAATGCCTTACCTCATCTATAAGCTGTGATAAAGCCTGACTGAACGGTTTCTGCCCAAGTGCTTTTGTATCCTTATCTGGGAATGATATCTGTCCTATTTTTTCACTCATTCCATAACTTTGTATCTGGGCATATGCCATCTGAGTCACTCTTTTCAAATCATCCTGGGCACCTGCAGAAAACAATTACATTGTATATATGGTGAATCCACACTGATAATATTTTTATGAAAAAAAATGGCTGGAAATCCATTGTTAATAATGGTATTGAAGCCGATGACATATGCAGATTTTACTGCTGATGACTAAAAAACTACATAAAGAATGTTACATTTAAATAGCATGTGGCCTGGAGAGAAGTATTCATGTAAGTTGTATGGGACTCCATTGAGAGTAAATTCTGTATAAACTGATATCGAAATCATGTGAATATAAGGCAAGGAGACTACAAACCTGTTGTAATCTTGTTAAATGTAACAGCCTCAGCGGCTCTACCACCCAATGCCATACACATCCTGTCAAATAACTGTAGAAAAGAAACGGATAAAATCCAGTATATATTGCTGTACGTTTTGATCTGACTTCAGATACTGTGCAATTTGCATGAGTTTAGGGCCCCGGGAAGAACATTGCTATAATTTATTTGTTACCTGTTCAGTAGTATAGAGCTTCTGATCCGATGGTAGATACTGTGCAATTTGCATGAGTTTAGGGCCCCGGGAAGAACATTGCTATAATTTATTTGTTACCTGTTCAGTAGTATAGAGCTTCTGATCCGATGGTAGATACTGTGCAAATCCTAATGCTTTGTTAGTTCTTGGTATTATGGAGACTTTCATAAGGACATCTGTGTGTTCCAGCAACCAGCCAGTCAACGCATGACCCGATTCATGATAAGCTACCACCTCTCTCTCCTGCTTTGACATCACATGGGATTTCTTAGCAGTCCCTGCAGTTAGTCTCTCTACTGCATATTCAAAGTCGTTGCCAGTCACATGCTTCTGTGCTTCTCTTGCCGCATGTAAGGCCGCCTCGTTACAGATGTTAGCAATATCAGCACCTGCAGAAAGAAAATGTGAGATTTTTGAATCTGTGTCAATGTTACAAACATAATGCATATTGACTGTTGAGCTACACTACCATTAGTCCTATGAGTGTTACTTACTATGCTGTGAGCTGTTCTAGTCACTGAGAGTAACATTGACTTACCACTCATACCCACTGTGAGTTGTGCTAGTCACTGAGAGTAACATTGACTTACCACTCATACCCACTGTGAGTTGTGCTAGGCTCTGAGAGTAACATTGACTTACCACTCATACCCACTGTGAGTTGTGCTAGTCACTGAGAGTAACATTGACTTACCACTCATGCCTGGTGTGAGCTGTGCTAGTCACTGAGAGTGACATTGACTTACCACTCATACCCACTGTGAGCTGTGCTAGTCACTGAGAGTAACATTGACTTACCACTCATACCCACTGTGAGCTGTGCTAGTCACTGAGAGTAACATTGACTTACCACTCATACCCACTGTGAGCTGTGTTAGTCACTGAGAGTAACATTGACTTACCACTCATACCCACTGTGAGTTGTGCTAGGCTCTGAGAGTAACATTGACTTACCACTCATAACCACTGTGAGTTGTGCTAGGCTATGAGAGTAACATTGACTTACCACTCATAACCACTGTGAGTTGTGCTTGGCTCTGAGAGTAACATTGACTTACCACTCATTCCCGGTGTGAGCTGTGCTAGTCACTGAGAGTAACATTGACTTACCACTCATGCCTAGTGTGAGCTGTGCTAGTCACTGAGAGTAACATTGACTTACCACTCATGCCTGGTGTGAGCTGTGCTAGTCTCTGAGAGTAACACTGACTTACCACTCATGCCTGGTGTGAGCTGTGCTAGTCACTGAGAGTAACATTGACTTACCACTCATGCCTAGTGTGAGCTGTGCTAGTCACTGAAAGTAACATTGACTTAACACTCATGCCTGCTGTGAGCTATGCTAGTCACTGAAAGTAACATTGACTTACCACTCATGCCTAGTGTGAGCTGTGCTAGTCACTGAAAGTAACATTGACTTACCACTCATGCCAGCAGTGAGCTGTGCTAGTCACTGACAGTAACATTGACTTACCACTCATGCCTGGTGTGAGCTGTGCTAGTCACTGAAAGTAACATTGACTTATCACTCATGCCTTGTGTGAGCTGTGCTAGTCACTGAAAGAAACATTGACTTACCACTCATGCCTGGTGTGAGCTGTGCTAGTCACTGAAAGTAACATTGACTTACCACTCATGCCTGGTGTGAGTTGTGCTAGTCTTTGAGAGTAACATTGACTTACCACTCATGCCTGGTGTGAGCTGTGCTAGTCACTGAAAGTAACATTGACTTATCACTCATGCCTTGTGTGAGCTGTGCTAGTCACTGAAAGAAACATTGACTTACCACTCATGCCTGGTGTGAGCTGTGCTAGTCACTGAAAGTAACATTGACTTACCACTCATGCCTGGTGTGAGTTGTGCTAGTCTTTGAGAGTAACATTGACTTACCACTCATGCCTGGTGTGAGCTGTGCTAGTCACTGAAAGTAACATTGACTTACCACTCATGCCTGGTGTGAGTTGTGCTAGTCTTTGAGAGTAACATTGACTTACCACTCATGCCTGGTGTGAGCTGTGCTAGTCACTGAAAGTAACATTGACTTACCACTCATGCCTGGTGTGAGTTGTGCTAGTCTTTGAGAGTAATGAGTGGAATCCTTTTCCAATGTTATAGGTTTCATATGCTCTTCAAATATTTCCCTTCTTTCTTCCAATGTTGGCATTCCAATAAATATGTGTCTATCAAATCTGCCAGGTCTTAATAATGCCTGAGCAATGCAAGAGAAAACGATTAAATATTATTTGTTAATCAAGATTCAGTGCCCCCCCCCCCAAATAGAATATTGGCTAGTTTACATAACAATATATCATGCTAATTACCTCTATTGTATTCATTGTTATGCTAAAAAGGCCCTAATGTTCATCAACAATTAAATATTTTGGAACCCTGAAGAAATGGCTGAAAAGAATGCATTATACCAATTATTACATGAGAACAAGGATAGGTATGCTCACAAATGATTATTCGAGCTTACACGCCCATCTTAGCCCAGTGGACAATAATTGACAGCATGGAGTCAATTCAATTCATATGCATGCAGTAGTATGTCTTAGAAAAAATAAATCAAATGTTTGTTTAGCATGTAGAAGACGCTTGAGTTTCAGTTACTCAACCAAAAAGAAGGGTTTTGATATTATTCAGTATCTGTATGGGCTAAATTCTAAAGTCAATGATGAAGTGATCAGTCAACTGATGAGAAATCTTTTGTAATAACTAACTGGCTTTACATTTTGATGACCATTTTTTGTTCTAGAATTACACTGGTCTTGAATTGCTCTTTGGTAACCTAGCAACAAGAGAGCATATGTACCTTGTCTAATACATCAGCTCTATTTGTAGATGCTAACATAATAACGCCTTTATGAGTCCCCATACCGTCCATCTCAACAAGTAACTGATTTAACGTCTGCTCTTCTTCTCCACTGCCACCAAATGATCTGAAATAAAAATGGATGTGTGCATAAGATCGTACATCAAAACTGATCATTTGTCGTGTTATCATAGGCGTCATATTCTGTTTGATAATCTCATCAGCATACAACCAAAATTTTGACCAATCCACAAAAATTTACATTTAAATGCCTAACAATTACCTGTCAAGCAATGTGTTATGGATGAATATTTGGAAAGCATTTTTTTTATTTTAACATGAATACTAGTAGGTACAAGCTGGGAAGAACAAAAATGGTGGATTTGACGATGTACTCATACAATGAATCATGCAGAGTAGACATGTCGTCATCTGAATGCAGTATTTTTTGAACAGTGTCATTTCTTCTGCAAAAATGTTTTTAAGCATTTTATGAACATAAGTTCCCATTGGCTAAATAAAACAAGTAATTTATTATGTAGTCACTGTGAGTTCTCAAGTTAAAGAAGTTTGAAGATGAACAGTCAGAGATATGGTTCAAAAACTGCATTCACTAAAACAAAATGGCCACCAGTTGGTAATTTTAGGTCTGATCTAAGAAACAAAGTGACATGCATTATGGTTCCATAAAGTTCAATATAATGTATATACAAAGTTTGAACAAAATCTGTCTATGTATGACCAAGATCCATATATCTGGAACGAATTTTTGAATCAGGTAACCAAATGAATAAATATACACGTGTTTAACATGATGTATGATCTACTGTAAAGTTTGAACATGATCAGTCAGGACATCTCTGAGATATAGCATCGAAACTGCATTCGTAAAAATAAAATGGCCATCAGTCGGCCATTTTGAATCTGAGCCAAATAAGAGATGTGCATCAGGGTGATTTTGATGAATTTTTAGCATCAAAATGGCTGCCATTCAAGTATCTTGAATTGAATTGAATAAATTTTCATATGTGCAATGTGTGATGACATGATGTGTGATGTATATCTAAAGTTTGAAAATGTTTGATCAAAGAATGTCAGAGGCTAAATCGTCACCAGTAGGGCATTTTGAATTTGATCTGAAAAACTGATTGACGTGCATTAAGGTCCCATAATGTCCAATGTATGTACCATGTTTGAACAAAATCCATCCATACATGACAAAGATCTAGTACCGCAATGGCAGAAATGCTTGAATAATTTTGAAGTGGCCAAATAAGTATATTCACATCATCCCAATAACTGACTATATTCTATTTTATATGTATGACTAACAAGGTTAAAACTTTTGAGTGACATTACAAAATTTAAAACTCATTCAATGATGCAACCACAATGTCTATAGTACCCTGCTTTTCAATAGAATTGATTATGTTGTGACTTACTGTTCGGATCTTTTCCTTCCAATAGCATCAATTTCATCAATATACACAATACATGGAGCTCTTTTCCTGGCTTCTTTAAATAAATCTCTGACTCTCGCTGCTCCAAGACCTGCACACACAACATATGTAGAATTGTAAAACTTTGTTTTCATACTCATCCAATCATTCTATTGATCACAAATGTACAAGTATATATCCAATTTGCAACAGACATGAAAAGGGTTTTATTTGCTTGCTCATAATGAAGCATAGTTTTTTCTACATTCTAAATTAGGTGATCACTGTCAAACTTATATATATGGTTAATCTGTATGCATAGACGACCTTCCCCACCCTATGCAGTGATCTTCCGACCATATGCTGTGATCTTCTCTACCCTATTTAGCCATCTTCCAATCTTATGCTGTGATCTACCCCATCTATGTTAGGATCTGTCCACCCTTATATATACAGGGCAACCCATGTGAAGTTTAACTATGTTTTTAGTTGAGACTAATTTAACACTATCAAATTGAGCACGAGACTAATTGACTAAAAGTCATTATCATAACACAGTATCTATCAGGAAATGAGATGTTCAACAAATGTAGTTTGAAAGATATCTGCAGAGACACACCTCGGATACAGTTCTGAAATTACTGAAATGCTTGGATTAATCACAAATTTGCATATTCAAATGTTTCTGACAATGTTTTATGTGTATGTACAGTTTGTATGTAATTGGTCCAGGCATGTCAGAAATATTCATATAGCTCCAGAAAATGATTTCTGTTCTAGTTCTAGATTCATGAAACAAAATAATGTGCCACAGACTGAAGATGTTCTATGTATTCATCAAGTTTTTAGAAATTCAAGCATGTTCAAGATATCAAACATGAAAGAAATGCTGGAGTTTGGTGTATTTTTACAATAAAAATAACCATCATTAGCCATCTTAATCAAATCAAGAAATGAATGCAATGTGTGGCAAAGCATATTATGTTTGTGTACTGACTGAAAGTGAACTTGGCATGACTGCGATATACGTGTGAATCCGGGGTGTGAATGAATGCATTGATAGACACATGCACAGAACTCAATCTATAAGCCCTTCATCTTTTTAAAAACATTGTAATATTGATACATGCAGCATGTCTTAGTTGTGAATACCATCTCACCTCCAATCATTTCAACAAATTCCGAACCAGCCATCGCTAGAAATGGTACATTGGCTTCAGTTGCTACAGCTTTACCCAATAACGTCTTTCCACAGCCAGGTGGTCCAAGCATTAAAGCACCTCTAGGGACCTGACAAAATATAACAGTTCATCAGAAAATGCAGAGAGGCCATTAATCCACAGTATATAACTGATAGTATATGCACCAATTATAGCAAGGAAATGAGAATTCTATTCATATGCAAATTTTTGTAATTAATTAATTAATACACAAAACTAATCAGATCTTGTAATTGTAGAATATAACTGCTAATCCTCTGATCATGATTCTTGCAATATTTGGTTAACAAATTTGTTGCAGACAGAACGACAACATAAGCTCTCTTTCATGGTCAACAGGAGCTAAAAATGACAATAACAGTACATGTACTTCAAAGTACAAGTGTATAACACTCAGGAATTTTGTACTGGTTCATAAATACTGGACATAATTACTTAAAGTGCCTGTGAAATGGCTGCTATTTTCACGCCTAAAATTATCATTTGATACATAAATATTATTAATTTTTAAGTGTTTTAAACTCAGTCTACGGCAACTTTATTTTTGTGTATTTTTAAACAAGGCTCCTCATTAGCTTCTCATTTGCATACAGAAATTCCCCTTGTGACGTCAGAAGGGGAAGTCGCATGGCAGCTTGCATTGCTGATACGTGTAAATAAGGCAAATTTCTTGTGCAGTTTTCTCGTCTTTGACTAAATTGTCACTTATGTACTTGTTCGTCGAGGAAGAATGGACCATAATGAACACATAGTATCAATTTTTGTTGCATGGGGTTGAGTTAGATGCGAAATATGTCCGTTCTGGTGTAGCTGGTCACCGTGATCGTCACAGACACCGGCGCACATTTGTACACTGTCGCTGAACTAAATAGAATTTGACGTCGGAATTATCTCGTTATTTAGCAGGTTACTAGGCACGTCACTACACTGTTTTATTTCATCGATCGTCTGAGTAAAACTTTCAAAATTAAAATAAAAGAGAACATATTCTGACATTCTAAACATTAGACTACAATGATCACTATAAAATAATTAAAAAAACGACAAATCACAGTTACAGCCGCGTGGAAATAAATTGACTTTTTGTTGAAATAGGTGAATGCGTCGGGTCACGACGAGGGCAAGTGCGTTAAAAGCGGCGTTTAATTGGATAACAAAAATAATCGAGATCGACACACATACAGATAAATTCAGAGTGGATTCGAGTTCGCGTGATCCATGCCGTGATTGTCAAAATTATAACATCATATTAAAACTTCATTTGGTTGAAACACATCGACCAAGCCCGAATTCTTATTTCATAAATTATTACGCAGATCAAGCTGCAAGCATGGAGGTAAAAAAAGAACAGAGGTGTGAATTTGACATTCAACACCAATCACCAAACAATTCAGAAACTTTTAGCCTTCGAAAATGAAAACAATTAGAAGTATGCAAGGGCTGTGTAATTTCCTGTTTGTCCGACGCTTCGTTTTCGTGTCACTGTCAAAATTTTTGCTACCTTTTACCTAACAGGAACTAAACGATAATCACGATCGCAAAAAAAGTCAACTCATTTGAAACACTTCTAAAATCCGCCTCAGTGATCATGGGCTGGTCCGGAATCTATTTCTTTCAAAAGTGTTGCGCCAGGTTTATGTTAAATGGCTTTCGTCCACTGAAGTCGCACCTTCGGATCGATTAGAAACGTGTGAATACATACACTATGACTATACGTTTCACTGCAACTGCCCACAACACAACACAACAACTAAAAACTCTCTCTCAAAAAAATAAAATAGACAAAAAAAAAAAGAAAAAACGCCGACTGAAAAAATGTATATCGTTTAAAACTACCGGTATACTGAATGACCAGTGTTATTACGGCTCGGGGGTATGACTTCCTCTCACATTTTTGTCATTTGGTGGCGAACTTTCGGCGTAAGTCGGAAATCCGGAAACAGTCGACCGTTTCAGGATAGGTGGGCGTGGCTACAACACGAGAAATATCCCAAATTTACTTGGATACGAGTAATCATTTTCAGCAAAAAAATCAATAACTGCCCATTTCACAGTGGGACACAGATCTAAAATGGGAAACTTGAGGGTGGGCATTGCACAGGCACTTTAAAGGGGAACCACTCAATCCCATGGATTGCACCAAAGAATCATGGGACATTATTGTTTATGTTGTTTACAATGTTAATCAATCTTTTGTTATCCATTGTTATTTTAATCCAGAAAGTAAATTTGTTGTGAGGCTTAACTGGAAGGTGCCCCTTTAAGTGTTTGCAGACACAATTGTTAACAATGACTAAGATGGTAACCACTATACATTGAAATTTCTATTACTATTACAGGTAAGGTAAAACTGCAAGAAAGAGACATTGGAAAGACACGTATAATGTAAACCACATTTCTAACCTGTGCTCCAAGTTCTTGGAATTTCTGTGGATGCTTCAGATAGTCTACAAACTCCATAAGTTCTATTTTGGCTTCTTTCAATCCAGCAACATCTTTAAAACTAACACCTCTGTTGCCACCTTCTTCAACCAGCGTAAACCTGGCCTTGGCTGTATATGCAAACAAGTAGTATTTTTATGTTTTTGTTAAAAAAAAAATAATTTTATGTTGCAACCAGTCAGCCATTTTGAATCCAATCTGCATAATGATGTGCATCAAGGTCTCATAATGACCAATGTGTGTACTAAGTTAGTACAAAATCTGTTCATACTTGGCAAGACCTGGTTTCAAAATGACAGAAATGCTTGATTTCTATGAATGTTCAACATGAAAAATGGCCAATTCGATCACAACAAAATTCACGTACATAGGTATCCCTAAGATGTATGTGTGAGGTTGGAATGAGATCCATAAAGAATTGTCTGCAATCCAGGTTTGGACGCACAGACACAAAGAGGTGAAATTATAAGTCCCTGCACTTGGATTTTATCCAAACAGAGATTAATTATGTTTTCCAGGTCAACGATCTATATTATCCTACCTAGAACAATAGAAGAAAAAACATGGGTATTGCAGTACCATGTGTGGTAATTACTTTTATTCACGGTGGTTCAAATCTAGATACTTACTGAACTGTGAGAACGTATTAAGACCACTTCCTTTGAACGCAGAACTAACCATATAGATCAGAAAACCTATGACAACGAGTGTAATGATAATACTACTCCATCCTTCACTCTGATGACGATGCTGTACCTGAATCTGTAAGATAACATAATCATATGAATTGTAAACAAAAATAAACAGGCCTTTATTATCTGATCTAGTACTTGGCAGATTTACTTTTATATCTGTGATTTTTTCTACTGATGTGCACATCAGTTATACTTGGCATTATTTAACTTCCGTTTCTGTAAGGTACATTGTAATTTTGTAGTATCGCATGGGGTATCTGCAATGCACTTTTTTAGGAAAAGCAAATTCCAAATATGGAGCGATTATGTGATATTTCCAAGATAGACTTGCTTGATAATGAAGTCCATAGTGAGAAATTGCAACTAATTTCTGCCGTATGTCAGTTCTGGGCATCATACACCAAACAGTTGGGTTAAAAGACGATTACCATTAAATCTGTATTAGAAATCGCACCCATTCTTTTTGAAAAAAAAACAATTGACAACCCCAAATTCCAAAATGCTCTAATAGAAACTATTGTATATCCCCTCTATTACATTGTAGCATTTTAATAGAAGCTGCGGCTTCTAATACACATTTTACATTAGTGACACAAAGATACCAAAATGTATGTACTGAGACAGTACACAGTCGCCTTGACCTTCATTACACGTAGTTCAATACTCTTACTGTCTGTATTTGTGCATATTTTGCAGTATCCTTGTAATAATTATCACACATGTATACAGGTAGGAAGGTATATTTTGCTAACACACAGAAGCATGTTGATAAAATCTCACCCGGTCACTGTGATCAATGCCAAGTTCATCTTCAGCTCTTCTCAACTTTTCTTCAAATTTCTCAATATTACCCACTCTCATTCTATAATGACCTCCTTGTCGTAGCATCTAAAAAAATTGTGGACTATTATACAATCATTCTATAATGACCTCCTTGTCGTAGCATCTAAAAAAATTGTGGACTATTATACAATCATTCTATAATGACCTCCTTGTCGTAGCATCTAAAAAAATTGTGGACTATTATACAATGATTTTATAATGACCTCTTCGTCGTAGCGTCTAAAAAAAAACCAATGGACTATTATACTTTCATTCAAT